AAAAATCACAATATTTTGATTTGGTTGTAAATTTTCTGTTGAAAATATTATTTCCAAAATATCAACTTAAAAGTAGTAAAAATGATCATAGCTAAGTCTAAAAACTGCTGCTGCGATCAATAAAATTAGAAGTCACCAAGTCCTGATGGGAGACACCACACAGTGGTTGAGAACAACAGGGTTAAGGTTGTCTGGGACTCAAGACAAACAGCTTCTGGTTAATCAACATGATATAGTGGCATCATAGACTGAAGGTCAGTTGGATCAGATTTCTAAGGTAAAGTTCAGCATGGTTGCAGTGGTAATAGAAACATTAGCGGCTGTAACCCCCAAACTGGAAAAGTGACTCCCACGTCTGTTACACCAGCCCTCTGCATGTCCTCCTTCACTACATCCACAAATCTTCTCTGCAGTCTTCCTCTTTTCTACAATCCCCTCCATATTCAAGATTCTTTGCCCAGTATATCTGCTATCCCTAGTCTGCAGATGTCCACACCATCTCACCCTTGCCTTTCTGACTTTGTCTCCAAACTGCTGGCCTGTTCTAAAGTTGTATGAGTGGAAAACAGTCTTGTGTAGAAGAAGATCGTGATGGAGTGCCCAAGAGCAACAAACACAAGTACTGTGCTCTTTCCCAACCTGAGGCTGCTGTCCCAAAGGACTGACACTCTGATGTAAGTAAATAGAGACAAAAAAAACTTTAAACACCTGTCAACATAATGTAGTCCCTCGCAACAGTAACTCAAATTAAGTCATTTTTATGTATATAGTTCTAACTCATAACAAGATGCTTTACACTGTGAGTTAAAGATCCTACAGTGTTAGAAGGGAAAACAATCCAACAACAACAAAACTGAACATTTTGATGTGAGCAAAGAGGAAATTTCGTGAACACCTGTGTTATTTTGCAGTAGATTGCTAAGGTGTGCTTAATAAAATAGCCCAAGGAGAGTAAGAGGTAGGAGTCTGACATCTTTCAAACTTTCATGATGAATTTGTCCACTCCCCACTGGATGCGACAGATGACTGCCCCTTCCTGAGGCTGGTTCTGCTAGAGGTTTGTGCCTAGTAAAACAGTTTCTCCTTCCCACCGTAATCAAAGTGCTTGCTTCAAAAGAGGTCTGATTGTTGGGGTTTTCTCTGTTTTATTGTATTTTATTTATCTTTACCCTACAATATAAAGCCCCATGATGCAACTGTTGTTGTGATTTGGTGCTATATAAATTCAACTAAAATGAATTGAATTGAATTTTTGAACATAAATATTGACAAATTTTTATGTTCAATATTGACAAATTGTGTTTTACAGTGATGTCACTGCAATCACGCTCTGCATTCAGCTGGACTTGCTCTCCGTGACCTGTCCATCAAGGTATGGAGTTTAAACTGGTGGCCACATAGGACCCTTTTAGGCCAAAAAGGTATATTATGACTGAACTGCTCCATATATCTACTTCTGCCTGTCTCTGATTGGTTATCAGCTTAATTTTCTTACATTTCTTGTCTGTTGTTTTTGTCTTTACATACGGTAAAGTCCTTGTTTTACCACTCTGGATTAAGGATGCTAATATCTTCCTCAGTGGATGGTACCATCTGCCGCTGGGATCTGGATAAGTGTAATGAAACTGACTGGATCCATATAGATCAGATCAGAAAAGCCCTCCATTGTGCAAAGCAAGTACTAGAAAAGAAGACTCCTTCATCTCTTTTTCAAAGCAGGGGCTGCACTTCTGGACCATCAGAAGACTGTACACCATCCACTCAGAGGTGATGAAGGCACCCCATTGAGACAAATTAAAGTCCCGTCAGTTGCTGCTCCTTACCCTATGCAAGTCCTTCTGCATCAAGCGGGGGACAGAAATATCACTTTGGTGGCAGCAGAAACTGGAGCAGTGTTGACCTCTTTCAAGGCAAGGAACAGGATTTTGTGTGATGACTACTGCCTGCACGAAAAGATTCTGCTGGCCTTGACTGAGGCAGTCACGGTGCTTCAAGCGAACACACTAAGTAATCAAATCACTTGATGGAGGAATGGAAAGGCCAGGGACCCTGGAAGGACATTGAAAGCTTGATAGAAAATGATGATGCAGGTACTCTGACGATCCCTGGCCCAGCTTGGCAATATACAGCTATGTGGTAGACAAAGAGAGAGCTTTAGAGCAGTGGAGGTTACAGGAGAAGAGGGGTTGCAGTCTCAGAGACGAGGCAGCACTCAATAACCCAAAGAACAAGTGAGCATTGTCAGTCCAAAGAAAATACTCGATGGTGCTACAGAAACTCCGGGATTGCCAGAAATCGAATATATTTCTGTGTCTGAGACAGGTTTTTGATCTTTCTTGGTAAAAGGGGAGGCTGTGTGAATGATGAATAATGGAAAGGTGTTATGCCAGATGCCAGCATACAATGGTCAGAGAATCACCACCGTGTAGGTGGATGTCGACAACATGCAGCTATCTCCCCTCACAAGTATTTACAAATGCAATGCCTTTTTGAGTAATCATCACTCATTACCTGATGACTGTATCCCAATTGCCAAGGTGAGGACTTGACATTGGTGGTCTGGAGGGTTAATCCCTACATCCAGAAGAGTCTCACTCGACAACTAAGCACTACAGCCAGCCTCTAGCCCACCTGGCAGCACTGAAGTCCCAACTTGCTGCAACCTTTCAAGAGCCCAATGACAGCTCCTACGGCTTAAAGCATGTCAGTCTGTTGACTCAAAGCCAAACAGATTTCAAGCCTGAAGAAGGACATTCAGACCACTTAACAGGTCACAGTTTTTATTGCAAGTTACATGCAGAGTTATGTTGTTGTTGTTGTTTCTGTCTGTCTCTATGTGCATGTTTGCTTGTGTCTTGCAGGACTGTGCTTCCCCATCTGAAGGTGTTTGTTTCCAGCAGTCTGGATAAGAAGGGGCAAATGTGGGATGAAGAGAATCGCCTCCTCAGGTTGGTGATTATTACAGATGTGAGGAGCAGCCTTTCAGTCTGAGCCTTTGTGCGTATTTCAGACAGGTACGTCTATGTTCTTCAACCTCTTTGTGGATGTTGCTCCTCCAGGACGCTCCAGCTGAATGCGGTGCCTGAATGCTTGGCGTACAGCGTGTTTGGAGGAGATGTGTTCCTGGGCATCAGAGAGGGCCTGTACGTGATGAGCTGTACAAAGTTCCTGCCACCCAACTGCCAGCAAACAGTAAGACATTCACCTGGAGAGCTGTCTGTGTGGCTGTGATTATAATGGGGTGTAATTTGGACTTTTTCATAGCTAACTAATAGTAAGACTCAGATATTTCATATTAAAGATAATGCAAAACAGTCGCCTTATTATCTGTGAGCATTGTTGGTGGAAACAGGACTTGTAGCAAAGATAAAGAAGAGGAAGCCATCAGTGATGGACTGAGGGGAGACATGCAGCAAGAGGTGTGTGTAAATGATAGGACTTGAATGTCTAACAGTTGCATTTTATTTCAGATATCTCAGCTGTTTCCTTTTCACCTTTGTTTTAGTACATATTAGTGACTTTAAATAACAACCTGGAAGCACTTCTGCAAGATGCAGTAAAGAGCAAAAAAGGGAAACTTCCAAGTACAGCGCAAACCAGGAAGGAAGCATTTCAGCGCTACATGAAACTAATATATGGCCTGCTACTGAATATTAAGGTTCTTTCCTCACTTATTTTGTACTGTAAAGCAAATGCAAAAGCTTACATTTACAGTCAGCAAACTTCAAGCTTTCCACTAGACCAAGATAGTTGCTCTAGTGGAGCAACCCAAACCTAGATCGACTCCATTTCGTGGTCAATTCAGGACCCCATAACCACCTCCACCACGGGAAGCCTCACCTGAACTGCCAACGTTCCTCAAAGAGTTCGTAGAGATGGAATGGTTTTGTGATTTGTACCCTGACAAAAAGGTAGTGCAACAAAAATGGACTGCCATGCACAGTAATAACATTTTTATACTGAGGTGTGCATGTGTGTGTCTGAGAGAATCCCAAGCACGTTGTGTCCAGAGGACTCCTTAGACCTGCTCAAATATCTGCAAATCTGCAGCATCCCATTCAAGATATTGATCCTTGCATCAACAAAGGCCCTGCACAGCCGGGACTCTTACAGAACAGACGAGCTATACCAAGGCCTCACTGACTGTGTGCACACATTTGTGAGGCCTCATATGGCACAGCAAGAACCAGACTTTGCAGTTTACAAGTAGAGGATTATTAGGTTGTGATTAATTTTATGTGTGTTTCAGTCAGCTGTGGAGCAGACTGTGCTTACTGAGATCTTAAATCTGTTGATGCATCTGAAACCTGCAGGCTGTGAGCTGATAAAAAATTCTTTTAACTCTTCTAGCCTAGAAAGAACTAGGGGTTGGGTGAGTTGTCACTGCTAAAACAAGTAGTTTTTGTTTGTATAGCAAAAATCTTTTTTTTTTTCTGATTTTAACATAGGAAGACAGTAATGCGCGTGCTGACAGAACTGAGCGTGGAGGAGGTTGAGTTTGTGGCCCGAGGTGGACACTTGGGACTCGGAGCTGGAGAAACAGTGTGACACCTGGAAGAGTCTCCACAGCAAAGCAGAATGATGGCTGGACTTGTGGTTCTCAACATACAAAGTAATTTATTGATTTGAAATGTTTCTGTCTTTGGTTAGAGCTGACATATTTTCAGTATTTCAGTGTGACAAAAGATCAGATCAGTTCTGAGGTCATTTACTGTGACCTCAATTGCTTTAATGTTTTTGACTGCTAGTGTAAGTGGTTAACTACATTCCTGCTTTCATTTCCAAACCACCAGGAGTATAGCAGGTATCTCTACCTGAGCAGTAACACCAAGTGTACACCCCTGGCATGCAGTGTGGTTGAAATGATCAATTATTTCTGCTGTGTGCAAAAGGTCGAGCACAACAAACCCAGAAATGCCACACCTCCTGGTCGCAAAAACACAGTGCTTTTGCCTATTTATGACAGGTATGTGAAATTAGTGCACATATTAGTTTCACTTCTTCACTGTAAGCTGAAACATTTCATTTCTGATTTTTCATTTTAGTAGATTTCAACCAATTCTTCGCCTAGAAACATTCAGCATGTTCAGAATACAGAGAATGCCAGCTGAGTTGTTACTGAACTTTAACAAAAATTTCTCGTTAAATGGGGTGATTTACATTCAGAAAATAACCGTCTAATGTTGATCGTCATTCAGGTTGAATTCTGCCTCCCGGGCGACACAGTCCCTTCCTCATGCAGTTCCCCAATTTCATCACTTTGCCGTTACCTCGAGTGACTCTCGGCCCGTTTCGTGACTGCTCAGAAGAAGACTGGTGGGAGGTTTCGACTCAGTCCTTTTTTATTCAAGAGCAGTCTTGGGTAGAGTACTACAGATGATGCCTTTCAATTTGTAACAGACTGTAACAACCCCATTAGGCTCAGTAACCCACCTTTGTTGTAAATCAATTTCCAACAGCCAAATAAAATCCTTGGCTTCGTAAGTGATTTATTCTGTAACTTTCAGTGTATAAGTGCATCTGTGATGCACATAAGGCTGATTTGGCACACTTATTTCTTAATGCTGGTGACTGAAAAGATTTGATTATAAATATTTTTAAAGAAACATTCAAGGAACACAGTAATGCGGCTTCAAACAGCAGAGACGCAAGACAGCATGACTTAGTGACTACAAAAGGTACAAACATGATGATATAACAGGATAGTAAGCAGTAACTATCCTGTAGTTTTTGTTGCACATACATCTGCTGATCAGACACTATGTGAATGAATTGTATACAAAAGTATTTTTACTGCATTCCAGCTGTAACCTGATAATTAAAACGCCAGTGATCACCAGTACAAATCCTGCACTGACTCATGCTGTACTAACACTTATAAAGTCAACAAGCCAATCAATTAAATTAGTGCAGCATGTTCTGACTGAATGACAGATTAGTGTCTGTCACTTTTCAGCAGAGGTTATCACCTCATCCTGTACATTTATTTAGAACAACCAAAAGTCAAGAGGAGCAAAATTCATCTGAAGACCTGCACTTGTTGATCTGGTGGCTGAGAAATCTGGAAAACCATCAGCTAACCTGCTGACGTCCAATTTTCTGATGTAACCAGAAGATATCTGAGGAAAGACTTCGATTTCAGTCTGCTGGTCATCGTTTATGATTGTAGCTAAATGTTGTTGTTTTTTAAATTAACAAAAAGTGTGCCGTTTGTTTGACAACAAATGGATTTCAAAAGTACAGTCCCTCTTTTGCTGTCTACATGGACTCTTTACCTGCACTGAATCAAAGACTCGTCAAACGCCACTGATCAGAAAGCTACTAAAAATTTTGACCGTTGCCACAGAGTCAGCATTTTTATGTCCATATCTGTTTAGAGAAATTAGTGGCTGAGTGGCAACAATGCGATCCCTTCTCTCAAACCCAGACACTTAAAGATTACTGGGCCTTGGTGGATATCTGTATTTTACTGAGTAATGTCTTGCTACCTTCATTTGCCTGTTTTGGACTGTAAAACCCCTGTAATCCTCCCATTACATTTACCATAAGACTAAGTGACAAGGAAAAGGCTATTTAAATTTTTTTAAAAAGAATACCTAACTAGGTGACAGTTTGATTGTAAGGCTTCTGTACATTGCTATTGTTTGTCGGTGAATGAGCTTAAGAAGCATCTCTGCTTTATGCCACCATGTCTTTATCATAATTCAGCAAGTCACAGGTCAGAAAGATGTCAGAGCGTCCATTGTCGATCAGAACCCTGTTGAGCTTGTTGCTGGTCAGGTTGATGTCTAAGGTTTCATCTAGAGGCCAGTCTAAGAGCTGAGCACTGGAGGGCAGGTCGGGAAGGCCTGGCTGGTAGTCCTCCAGGGGGTTGGGGTACAGTAGCTGTCGTAGGGAGGGCATTCTTACAGCCATCTTCACCAAGTCCATGAGACCAGCCATGGAGAGCGGGTTCAATGCCAGAGCCAAGCTCTTGAGGCCCCGGCAACCTCCTAGTGAGGGCAACAAGAGCCCCAGCAGGCCATCAGTCAGACCACAACCGCTTAAAGACAGGTGCTGCAGGCTGCCCGAAGCCTGGGAGAGGAGGCGGCGAATGGAAGGCAGAGTGTTTTCATCCAGACGGTTTTCGCTTATATCCAGCTGCTGTAGCGTGGAAGTGTGATGACTGCAGGACAGATAGGCAAAGTCAGCTGGACTCAGGGACAAATAGGGGAGCTCCAAGATCTCTAGAGGCTGAGGCAGAGAGCTGTATCAACAGACAATAGAAGAAAACATTTAAATAATGTCACCTCATCAAACACTTTAGGTTTCATTGTTTGTGTTCTAGCTTTAACAGGATTATTTTAAAGATGTCTGCTCATTTGCTTTGAAATAGTGACTCATTACATGCTGATCTTGAACTGGTCAACTTAGTTAATCTGTTATAGGTTTAGTTTTTAAACTGTAATGAAATTTAGAAAAGAGCCAATGGCATTTTGAAAAATCCCTGACTTTGTGTTTGTCAATGGCTTAAATGCAAAATAATGTAATGAGGTAAACAGGCCATACCTGAGCAACACACGGAGCTGACCAGGCAGGCGCAGTGCAGTGAGGCTGAGGTGTCGCAGTTCCTGCAGGCGTGCCAGACCCTGCGACAGCTCCCCCAGTGCCTCTGACTGGCTGGGATGGACTCTGCGAAAATCCAGGTTACAGTAGTGCAGGCGAAGGGATTTTAGTGCAGGAAATGTGGAGAGCAGAGGCAGCAGTTCAGCCAAGCCAGCCACCCCAAGACTGCTGTAGCGTATGTCGACGCCCAGAAGTCCTCTGCGAGGGAGCAGATCTAGCAGAATACTGATACTTGGCACTGAAATCTCTTCCACACGCAGGTATCTGCACTGAAGCTTTAGAGGTCCAGATGTGCTCAGAGCTGAGTGAATACGCTCCCAAGAGCGGCCATTAACAAAAAGATCAGCTCTCACATGCACCACCACATCACGATCCATCTCTTTTTCTTCAGCCTCCCTCTCACTGCTCCCTAATACTGTCCTCTCTCTTTTCCTCTCCATCTCCATCCTCCTCCTGACTCCTTTACTTAGGTCCTCTTCACTCACGGACCCTGAAGATTCAGTCCTCTCACCAACATTGGTTGACTCATTACTGTTTAGTTCCCCATCTCTTTTCTTCTGTCCCCTTTCTCTTTTTAAATCCCTCTCCCTTTCCAGAGCTGAGATCCGTTTTCTCTCCTGGTCTCTTTCTTTCTTCTGTTCCCTTCGTGT